AGGAAATCATTTCTTACAGTCTTTTGGAGACAAATGCTGGCATGGTTGGATACTGGTGAGGGCTCTCTTTCTGGCTTGCAGCCAGCCACCTTTCCCCTTGCTGTGTGGTCATTTGTGAGGAGGAGGAGGATGAGGAGCAGAGAGAATGAGAATGCACCCTAGTGTCTCTTCCTCTTTCAGTAGGGACGCCCATCTTATCCTGAAGGTTCTATCCTCATGACCCCATCTAAACCTGCTTATCTCCCAAAGCCTTCGTCTCCACATACCATCACATGGAGTGTTAGGGTCTCAACATATGAATTTTGGGGAGACACATTATCTTAATGTTCTCCATACATGTTTGGTCCTAAGAATCATCTGGGGGGACTTCATAAAAATACAGTTTCTTCAGTGTTCCAGTAGAGACTCTGATTCAATGGATCTGAGATAGTATCCATAAATCTGTAATTTTAGTAAGCATTTCAAATGATTCTTAAGATCAGAGAAGTTTGAGAAAACTGCAAAATTTAATTTATCCTTAATAATGCTATGAGATAGATGTGGTTTTCTGCTTTTACACAGAAGCAAGCTGCAGATAGAGAAGGTAAGAAACTTAACCAGGGCATAGACAGGATGGAAGTTCCAGGCCTCTGTCCACTGTCTGTTTTCTTAAGCACTACTTTGTATTGTCCTTCACAGGGTTATAATGATGAAGTTGATGGTAATATCTGTCCCCATGTTAAAAGATTTATGTGCTGGGGATTGTTCTGAGTGTTTTATTATATACACACACACATATACATATCTATAACTATATATTTATATCTACCGTGTTTCCCTGAAAATAAGATATCCTCCGAAAATAAGACCTAGCGCATGGAAAGATAAGACATTCCCTGAAAATAAGACCTAGCGCAACTTTGGGAGAAAAAAATTAATATAAGACATTGTCTTATTTTTGGGGAAACAGGGTATATCTATATATATCTATATCTATGTCTATATCTATATCTATGAACAAACTCATAGGCATTGGATCATCCTTATTTTACAGAAAGTTAGGGTATAGCATGGAGAGGTTAAATAATTTGCCTAAAGTCATTGAGCTACTTAAGTAGTAAAATCAGGCTTTGAACTCCGATAGTCTGGCTCTTGAAGTTACAGGCTTAATCCCTGCTCTATATTGCCTCCATATTCTGCTCCATAAGGCAGCTAACATTTATTTTAATCTAAACACGATTCATGTTATTTGTAAATAAAATTGATATTCCTGCCTGTACTGGGGCTTTATCCCTAGTTCATATATGTAACACACTTTGAAAATGATGTATCTAGAACAGTGCTGCCCAATGCAGCAGCCACTAGATGTATGTGGCTTTTTAAAGTTAAATTGATTAAAATTAAACACAATTAAAAACTCAGTTCCTCAGTCATGCTGACCACATTTGAAGTAATGGATAGCCACACATGTACCTAGTGGCTACCATATTAGACAGGGCAGAACCTCGACCATTTTTGTCATGTCTGAAAGTTCTTTTGGATCAGTGGTTGGTAAACCACGGCTCGAGAGCCACATGTGGCTCTTTGGCCCCTTGAGTGTTCTAACGCCACTTCTTCAAAATAGACTCGCCCAGGCCGAAAACCGACTTCTGTGCATGGGCCACGAAGTTTCATTCGCACTGTACGTGCGCGCCTGCACATGGTATTTTGTGGAAGAGCCACACTCAAGGGGCCAAAGAGCCGCATGTGGCTTGCTAGCTGCGGTTTGCCAACCACTGTTTAGGATAATGCCGTTCTATCTAGATCGTGTAGACTTACACAAGAATCAGACTAGGAAACTGAGTACTTGAACCATATCACTTGATCCCAGCAAGTTTGTATTTTTTGAGTAACAGTAGTATGACTGATGAACTCCCAAATCTAAGTGGCTTTGCACAATTAGAGTTTTTGTTTCTTTCATGCACTGAGCCTGATTAGTGGGCAGTTTTCCTCTAAACAGTGATGTCAGGTTCTGGGCTTTTTCCATATTCTCCATCTTCAATTTAGAGCTTCCAAGGTCACTGCTTGCCTGTTTCAAGCTATCAAAATGGGAAGGAGTATGGAGAAAGTGTGTTTTTTTATGGACTGGGCCTGCATTGGGCTTATACATCATTGCCTTGAATTCAGTCGTATGACCACACCCAATTGCAAGGAAGGCTGCAAACTATGGTCAAGCTATATGACCAAGTTGAAGAGGAAATGAGATTGGTGGGCACCAAGCTACTATCTGAGGATATTTTTCAGTATGACTTTTATTATCTCCCTAGAGGCCCAATGCACAAAATTCATGCAGGAGTAGGCCTTTGCAGTCCCCGTGGCTGCCTTGGCCCTTCCAGCCCCCACTTCATCTAGAAGGTCATCCGAAAGGGCGTCCAGATGGTCGGTCCACTCTTTGGCCTTTTGGTCCATTTGCAAATTACTCTTTTATTATTGTAGACTAGAGGCCCAGTGCACAAAATTTGTGTGCTGGGGACAGGGGTGTCCCTCAGTCCAGCCTGCATTTTCTCCAATCTGGGACCGCTCCGGAAATGTCTGGATTGGGTCTAAACTGGCAGACGGACATTCCTCTCACAATCCGAGACTACTGGCTCCTAACTGCTCGCCTGCCTGCCTGATTGCCCCTAACCACTTCTGCCTGCCAGTCTGATTGCCCCCTAACCCCTCCTCTTCTGGCCTGATTAGCAAACACCTAACTACTCCCCTGCCGACCCGATTGCTCCTAAATGCTCTCCCCTGCCGGCCCGATCTCCCGCAACTACCCTTCCCTGCCACCCTGGTTGCCCCTAACTGCCTCTGCCTGCCTGATCACTCCTAACTGCCCACCCCTGCAGGCCTGGTCTGGCCCCCAACTGCCCTCCTTTGTTGGCTAATTTGGTTCTGATTGGTCAGTTTCTATACCAGTCAGTGCCAAAAGCTCTGCCTCCTAGTCAGCCATTGACTCCTCACCGTTCACTCACATTTGGTTCTGATTGGTCGGTTTCTATGCCAGTCTGCATCAAAAGCTCCACCTCCTAGGCAGCCATTGGTTCCTCACACTTCACCCAAATTTGGTTCTGATTGGTCAGTTTCTGTGCCAGTCAAAGTCTCTGGACCTATCAATGGGGCCTAATCAGAAAGGCGGGCTGATAAGCAGCCCCTGTGGAGGCCTGGAGAGAAATGGAGGCATGGCTGCTGCCCAGGCGCAGAGAGAAAAAGAGAGGCAAGTGCTGATCAACAGCTGCTACAGAGGCTATGGATCAGTCCCTTCTCTCTTTAGGCCTCTCTCCGGGCCTGATTTGCAGCCCCCTCAGCAGTCAGTGCTGGGTCACTGGGCAACCCAGCACTGACTGCAGGACTGACTTCTGGTTGGTCAAGCCTCTGGTCGTTATGGATGTGATGGACCCAGGGTTTTTATATATTGGGCTATGTGTTGATCCATGATGCCTTGATTGCCATGGACAGACTTATTTTCCAGGAATTACTGGTGTACTTTTTCTTTATGGAGAAAGAGAATTCTGAAACTTTCACTTAAAAACATTTTTTATAGAATTTATTGGGGTAACATGGTTAATAAAAGTATATAGGTTTCAATATACACTTCTATAATACGTTGTCGGAATATTTCTTTCCGAATTCACCACCCCAAGTAATCTTCTGTCATCATTTATTTAACCTACTTTACCCTCTTCTACCCCTCATCCCCCTTTCCTTCTGGAATCCTATGGTTGTCTATGTCTGAGTTTTTGTTTGTCTGATTTGTTCATTTGCTCTCAATTTTATAAGCCACATAAGAGTGAAATCATATGTCTTTTTTACTTTATTTATTCACAAGTTCTATTCATGTCGCAAATGACAGTATTTCATTTTTTCTTTTGGCTGAGTAGTTAATATTCTATTGTGTATATATACCACATCTTCTTTATCCAGTGGAGTGACCAATCCAATGTATTGAGAGATACATTGATTGTATACATGTCTTTCTGGGTCATAGGGTAATAGCTCTGTTTTTAATTTTTGAGGAACCTCCACATTGTTTTTGCATAATGGCTGTATCAATTTATATTCCCACCAGCAGTGAATGAGGGTTCCTTTTTCTCCACAATGTCTCAGACACTTTTATTTATTGTGTTGTTGATGATAGCCATTCTTACAGGTATGAAGGGGTAGCTCATTGTGGTTTTGATTTGCATTTCTCTAATAGCTAGTGAATATATTAGGCATTTGTATGACTGTCAAGATGCTCATAGCCAAATCTGTATTACAAATATAATACTGTGTAGAATTCTAAAGAATCCTAATTCTACATAATTGCATTCTAATTTTCTCATGTACTTGGTTTTCTCTTTAGTCTGTTTTTTTTATTCTGATTTTTATGAATTTATTGTATGTATGTGTTTATATTGTATAAGCTATCTCAACTTATTTATTGTAATAAAGTGAGATTTTAAATAACAGTGTCTTTCGCTAAAATGCATATGTTAAAAAATCATCATTGGTTATTTATGGTCATATATTCTCTGTCTTTTGGTGTAAAATATTAATACTGCAGAAAGTTTCAGAAAATGACCTAACAGGAACTCGTTTTGTGATTTGGATTTTAGCATGTTTAACATTTTGCCCTTAGGTCTTGATTAAAAAAAAAAAAAAAAAAAAAAAAATATATATATATATATATTATTGATTTTTTACAGAGAGGAAGGGAGAGGGATAAAGAGCTAGAAACATTGATGAGAGAGAATCATTGATCAGCTGCCTCTTGCACACCCCCTACTGGGGATGTGCCCGCAACTAATGTACATGCCCTTGACCGGAATCGAACCTGGGACCTTTCAATCTGCAGACTGACGCTCTATCCACTGAACCAAACCGGTTTCGGCCAGGTCTTGATTTTTTAAGATAAAAAAAAATAGATAAAGTTATTTTTTTAATAAATTTTAGAAATTCTCTATAAAAACTCATAAATTGTATTTCATTGTGTTTGAAAACTTAGGTAAAAATTCAAGATGCCTGGGCGTTCCAGTTCAAATTCAGGTTCAACTGGTTTCATATCCTTCAGCAGCATAGAATCTGCTCTCTCCTCCTTAAAAAACTTCCAAGCCTGCATCAGCACCGGAATGGACACAGCTTCTAGTGTTGCTTTCGATCTTGTGGAAACTCAGAGTGAGTAGTCATAATTAAAATGCATTTCTTTTGTGTCTACTTTGAGGTAACTGTGTGGGGCATTATGGGAGGGATGCTAGATATTGCTCACTTCGTGTGTATCCTTGGGACGATCATTTAATCCCTCTGGGCACCTGTTCTTTCATCTTGTACTCTGTGCCATATAGCCATGTGCTGAGGATGAAATGAGCTTGATTCATTCATGTGTGTTCAAGCAGTATGTGCATTAGAAATTTATGGGCTAAAATATGAAGGTTCCTGACCTCAAGGAACATAGAATCAAAAGTATGTGGCATTTGTGAACTTTACAGTATACAAGTGCATTTAATAAATATGTTTTCCAGTAACTTAATTCTACAGTGGAACATTAGATTTGTTCTTGGAAGGCTGGTGGAAAACCGAAGCATTTCTTTCATTAGAAATATGTAAGTTGAATTAATCCATTCCAGACCCCCAAGTGGTTCCCGGTTTTAACCTTCCTTACATAAAATAAATGTCTAATGTACTGTTTAATCTATAAATACACACTTAAAAAAGGACATGAAATGTAAATAAAAATTTAATAAAAAGGAAAAGAAATGTACATTAAGAATGAAAATTTAATAATAATAATAATAAAAACCACACATGAAAATATTCACAGCACATTTTCCTGAGATGTTCATGATGCTAAACTGACCCATACTCATGCATTCTCTCCTTTGTTGCCTGCGAGACACGTGGCTGATCATACAGATAGCATGAAAGGGTTGTTGAGTCAAGAAGCAAATTGTTCGAGATAGGAGATGTTTGAGAAATGAGGTTTGACTGTACTTTGATCACCTTATAGACAGACTAAGCTTGTGCTAGAGGTACTGCTGCCAAAGGAAGGCCTCTACAAAGGAGACCAGCTTTGTTGGACTTGACCAACATTTTTGGATCAGAACACCTAGAAAGATGTTATTTGCTTTCTTTGAATTACAGTTGTTTTTATCTTATATACGGAGGCAAGGGATCAATATTATCTTTTTTGTATCTTTTTGTTTTCTTTTTAATATCATTGGTTTTTGTGATTTGATTGTGATGTGCCCTGGTATGATTTTCTTTGTTTATTCTGTCTAGTGTTCTTTGAGCTTTATGGATTTATGGGTTTACGGTTCTGATCAAATTTGGGAAAATTTCTGCTGCTATTTCTTCAAATACTGTTTCTTCTTACCCCTTCTCAATCTGAGACTCTAATTACAAATCTGAGGCTCAGTTGATTTTTTCCCCCTATTCTTTTTTCTCTCTGACACTAATTTGAAAAGTTTATATTTCTGTGCCTTCAAGTTCACTATTTTTGTTTTCTGCAGTGTCTAATCTGCTGTTAAGTCTATTCAGTGAATTTTTAATTTCAGGGGGTGGATTTTTCAGCTGTAGACGACATAAGAAAGAATTAAATGGAATCTTATTTCTGAAAGATTTGGAGGGGGGTGGGGTCGCACACCTATGACATGAGGCCATAATGTATCAAAAGAGATTTTATTCCTGGCACCTGGGTGCAGGTGGGCTGAGACCGAGAAAGGTATCAGCAAAGAGAACAGGGAGAGAGGTTTTTATTAACTTTTGCTGGCTGTGAGCGGCTCTGCTGATGTAAGGGTCCAGTCCATCCTTGGTTCCTCTCATGCCAGGTGCCTTCTGGTTATCTGAGCTATGCTGTGTTCAAGACTGCAAGCTTTCTGCAAGATATCTGCTAAGTACAGTAAGTTTTTCTCTGACCCATTTTATTCTTTTTAACCCTTTCAGTTTCTATCTTTCACTTCTTTCTTCATTATGCTCATGTTTTATTCTATATTCTTGAATATGTGAAGCATATTTATATAGCTGTTTCAATATCTTTGCTAGTTCTGTCATTTTGATCTATTGCTGCTGCTTAACATGGACATTGTATGTATTATGTTGTTGAGTGTTTGGATTTTGTTGTCTTCCTTTAAAGAGTTTTGGTGTTTGTTTTGCCAGGAAGTTATTTGTAGATATTCCTTTACACTAGGGAAGGTCTAGTATAGTTTTACTTTAGGGCTAATTTAGCTTTGTTACATTGGCCTTTCTGGAGTCTCTGTTGATTGTCTGGAGGGTTCTGTGAGATCTATACTCTGCTGGGTAGAATCTGAATGTCCTTTTTTTTTTTTTTTTATCTTTTAAGTGTTTTTTTTTTTTTTTTTTTTTTTTTTTTTAAATATGTTCTTTAGTGGTTTTAAAGAGAGGAAGGGAGAGGGAGAGAGAGAAAGAAAAACATGGATGTGAGAGAGAAACATCAACCTGTGCCTCCCTTGTGCACCAGCCAGGACTGAACCTGCAACCTGGCCATGTGCCCTGACAAGGAGTGTCTTCCAGTGCTATGTGAATTCTGGAATTGTTCACTTTACAGCTCCCGGCTGTTCCTCAGCAGCTCGGCTTCAGCATCAGGCCTAAGGGATCCCTGTGCAGGTTCCTAGGGCACTTTCCCTGCATAGCTCCCTCTAAGGGCTCTGTCTTTCAAACCCCTGCTGCCTCAGCGTTCCTGAACTCCAGTCTCTGGCTCCTAGGCCTTTAAGATTTCTGTGCTCTCCTTGCCCGCCCCCCGCCACACACACACCCCCCTTTCTTGCTGGGAGGAGGACACTGGCAGGACTTAGCTCTTTTGTTTCCTTTTTTGCTGGAATCTTAGTTCTCCTCCACTGATTGTCCCATTGTCTGAAAGCATTTGTTTCATATTTTGTCCAGTTCTCTAGTTTTTGGCTGGAGGGCTAGTTCCATACCAGTTATTCATTCCTGGCTGGCAGCAGAAGTCACCCGCCATCTTTAGTGGGTGGCCTCTACAGGTCTTCAGCCTGCCCAGCCTGATTTGTAGTCTATTTTTGGGTATTTGGCTTTGGTATGTAGCTCTGGATAAAAGTCCTGATAAAAATCTTAAATCATAAGAGGAGAGAGCTGGAACACAAACCTCCTATAGAATTGTATCTGTTTATTTTCAGGATTTGCTTCTATTGTTTTCACTACGGGGTTCCTTTTTTTTTTTTTTTAAGTATATTTTGGTACAAAATACAGCCTGCTCTGTGTAGTTTAGAAAGAACTGTAAGCATGGCTTTTTGAAAGGTTCATACTCTAAAGTGGGAGTTAGCCAAGTTTTTCTGTAAGGGATTAGATAGCAAATATTTTCAGCTTTGTGCATCATGTGGTCTCTGTTGAAGCTCTTACAATTATTTTGAAAGTAGTTTTGACTCTCTGGACCTCATAAAAGATTCTCAGGGACCACAGCCGGAGAACCAGTGATTATGGAAGTGAATGGGACTGCACTGAGCAGGCCAGAGATGGCATGAGAAATTTCCTACAGAGAATACCATGATGCCCCCTCCCCTGGAGTAATTCTGCCAGTGCTTATTGAAAGAGCAGGTTTAATGTGACACCAGACTGATGTGTTGCCCAAGGACCCAGAGAGGAGAAAAACTCCTGATATTTCAGGACATTTTGTTACCTGAGAATTGAATTTCTCCATTGCTAGTGGGAATGGGGTTCTTGGGCACCGCTGGAATGAGCACATCTGGAGGCCCCACCAGAGGATGAGACGTGGGAAAAGGCTTTATTTTTGTGGCTTTCCATTCATCAGGCTCCACAGTCCCATCTCCCCTAATCCAATCCTGGGGCTTTAGCAGAATTTAATTAAAGCAAAGCCAGTATCCAGAGCTTTGGTTCCGTGGTGAAGCTGATTCCCGTGTAGCATCAGGCTAGATTCAGTCCACTGTGTGGGTCCCACATGGCCATGAGCCACATGGGTGAGTGCAGGATGTGGAAGCCTCACAAATCAGGAGTCAGTTACGAGCAGCAAGAGTTTAAGTATTAAATCTTCTTGCCTTTTGCAGTGGCCACACCTATTCTGGCCACTGACTTGCTCTCAGGTGTGACTGCACCTGCCCACATCACCCAGATATTACTGGGCATGAGATGAAGAGGACTTGATTTGTCTGCTTTGTATCTTGCGCCCACACTGTCAGGTTCTCATCACAGCTCTTCACTTACGGTTTTTATGACCTTGGGCAAGTTCTATTACCTCTGTTTGCTTTTATTTCTCATTTATAAAAAGCAATACTAGATGAAATGAGATAATACAAATTATGTAGAGCAGTCCTGGATGCTTAAGTCCTGGATGCTTAAGTCCTGGGATGCTTAATGTTAGCTATAATTACTTTAGTCATCTTTGCATTTGAGTTGACTACAGTGAATGGATTGGGAGAAATTGAAGTGCAGAACAGAAGGGGAAGTTCATGAACTATCGTCAGAGCAGTTCTCTTTTCCTCTTAACCTTATGAGGTGAGGCACACTTTCTGTTGACCTTTTGGATTGTCCAACTTCCCTTTTTTTTTTTTTTTTTTTTTTTTTAAAGAAGGAATGAGGTTTTTAAAAATAGACGGTAGTGATCACTTAGGTATCATCATCTCACTCTGCACTGCAGTTCTCTTGTCGCTATATTATTAAACTAGAGGCCTGGTGCACAAAATTCGTGCATGGGGGTGTGTGTCCTAGCCTGTACCCTCTCCTAAATGGACAGTCAGACACCTCTCTCACAATCCAGGACTACTTGTTCCCAACTACTTGCCTGCCTGCCTTCCTGATTGCCCCTGATCACTTCTGCCTGCCGGCCTGATCACTCCTCAGCCACTCCCCTGCCAGCCTGATTGATGCCTAACTGCTCCTCTGCCAGCCTGATCGCCCCTAACTGCCCTCTCCTGCAGGCTTGGTCCCCCCTAACTGCTCTCCCCTGCAGGCCTGGATCCCCCCCTAACTGCCCTTCCCTGTAGGCCCGGTCGCCCCCAACTTCCCTCCTCTGCTGGCCTGGTCACCCTAACTGCCCTCCCTACAGGTTTTATCACCCCCAACTGCCCTCTCTTGCAGGCCTTGTCCCTCCGAACTGCCCTCCTCTGCTGGCCATTTGTGGCAGCCATCTTGTGTCCACATGGGGGCAGCCATCTTTGATCACATGGGGGCAGCCATATTGTGTGTTGGAG